CAGCGCAAGAATGAAGCACGTCAACCAACAACATTCGAAGAAGGTCAACTCATCCTCTGCCGTGCGATTCCACTTGATCAAATGAAGCACAAAAACGCTTTTACAAAGTTTCGCCCCGTTGGACTCTCCCTTATCGGTTGTTCGAGTTTCTCCCTACCCTGAAAACAGCTATTGCAAAGTCGCTCCTCACGAATGATCTTCGACAGGTCCACATGCCCAATTCATTTTGCCCCCACAAGGTTTAGCGCAGAAAAAGAATGGCTGAACTTGGTGCAGAAAGAAGTTTCTAATATGTATGATCCGCAGAAATGCCGGGAAGTAATCGAAGAGTTCTTTGAAGCTCTGTCTACGCCACAGCAACTGTCAGACGAGCCCACTAGGAAGCGTCGTCGGATTCCAAAGTCTGGAGGGGCCTGATGGGTTTTTGAGACTTTGTTCTACGAGACACAGACTTAAGAAAACCAGGAAAAGAAATCAAGCATGCTATCCTCTTGTCTCCCGCCCTAGGAGTACCACCACACTTGGCAGTGCAATTGTTGTCTAAGCTCGCTAATTCGTAAGCTTTTGATACTTTCTCAACCTCGGGATCTACAGTTCTTTTTCCCATTTGTTAGAATGACGACCTCCTTCTTCTCCGTTCTTACATCTGTCTACGCTGCTCACGCTAGACATCCATGACCCTAACTTTCTGGGTATGTTGTTTATCCTCCTTCTTTGTGGTTATATTATCTACTTCACGCACCATTTCATTCTCAGATGCCTAAAGTATCCTGCATTTGTGGGCTTAATGATTTTGACCGGCTTTTTTATCTACGTTTCCATAGTTCAGTGTGTTTTTCCCTGGCTTTTCCCCATGGTTTCCTACTTTGCCAACTCTTCATCCATGTGGGTAACGGTATCCACGCTCTCTGCTGCTGGTACTTACGTTATTGAACTCCGGATTTTGCTGGACTTGCACTATTCTTCCGTTCGCAACAATGATCACCATTCCCACGCTTTGGGCCGCGAATCTTATTAGTGACCCACCTCCAGAATTTTTGCTATTTTTTTAGCCCTTTAGCAAGGCTTTTCTCCGTTCTGCGGTTTTCTGCAGTGTTTCGTGTTTTTCTTTTCTTTGTTTTTCTTTTCTGAAATATCATCTATATTAATTCGTCTTAACAAAAAAAAATGATGAGGTTTTGCACCTTTCTCGTAATCTTAACAAGGGTCGTCTCAGGGGATCCTTCCAACGAACTCCTTGTCATGGGCCTTTGCCAACCATCTCAACTTCAACTCCCCGAGGATCGGTCGTTGTCCCGATCCCCGAGATCCCCAATATCACTAAAGGACATTCTAACCTCATTGACCACCAGCGCCCACCTGCGAGGACTCCACCGGCGACCGCTCTTCTCCGTCAGTGGATTTAGACGCTTTGGTGATGACGATTCGCGACCAGTTGCGAAAGGAATTGGCTGAAGCTCCCAACAGAACCACACGTCCTGGATCGACGGTGGTGGAAGTCCCATCAGACACGAATGAGCCCCAAGATACTACTTCCACACCAGCAGCCCTAGGCCGTATCCTCCGGTTGAGGCTCTACGTCCATGCCTTTCTCACCGACAGGGTGTTCACAGCCGTCAACATCTTTTTCACCAGTGCTCTGGTGTGTTTAGTTTGTGCCATATGGATTTATGGCGCAAGTTGGAGTGATTGCTGCGCTAATGAAGAACCAAACTTAAAGCCTTTTCCTGATGTCTCAATGTCTCGGGCTTCACGGATGTATGCGTCTCACCCATTGACATAAACAGGTTTTAGTTCCAGCCTCTCCCTTTTATTCTTGATTTTAACCTTGTTGCCATTGATCAACAAATGAATCATCAAATTCTGAACCAACTGTTCAACCACCTCGGGATGCTGTTCGGCCCATCGTTCTTCCTTTGGGTTCTGATGCCGTTGAGTTTGGCATCTTCCGCATTATTGTGATTAAGGTCTATCCTATCCTCCGGAAGGTGATTTGCACTTTCTTCGCGATAACAGGACTTCTTTCCCTCGCAATTGTCGGACGAACCGCCTACATTATGACCCCTATTTTGTATAGGGCAGCACTCGATTCCCTTCTTTCAGTTATAGACAACTTTGACAACACGCTCTCCCACTGGGGTAACCACATTTCTAACACCATGCTTGAAAGCAACCCCACCCACTTCCTTGCAACAAACTGGACCATCATCGCTTTAGGGCTCATCGTAGTATGGCTAACTGCCTTTGTGGTCACTGCAAGAACCATTCCAAGTGGTGCCGTGACCCGGGACCACAAACGCTGCGTTGAATCCTCAAGCCAACCGTCTAATGAAAAAGTTCAAAGTCCACAAGAACCCATCCCAACAAGTCAAAACCATCGTGCCCCAGTCTGTGCCCCATCGTCAATTGAACCACTTCTTGATCTTCTTAAAGCAGTATTGCAACCTCAACAAGCCTCTTCAACTTCAGACATCCAATCAATTGTGCAAAACCAAATCAATGAACTCAAATCCGAGTTGATCTTAATAATCCACCAAGAATTTGCTGCACTTACCTCAAGCCTAGCAACCACTACTCAAGTCCCCGCTTCAAACGTAATCTCACAATCTTCTACAACTGAACCAAAACAACAAGCAATTGTTTCATGTTCCCCAACCAGAACCACCTTTGAGCTCCTTGACGTGCAGTCTGAGGAATCATCTGACGAAGAAGCTCCATTTGTAAATGCAGCAGGGAGATGGAAGAATGTGACCAAGCGAAAAAGAGTTAAGTTTGCAACTCCAGCGTCACCAGAAACTGCAGCAACGAAAAAAGCCGAAGTTCATGATGTTCGAACACCAGATGAATTGACCGAAGCAGATTTGAAACTGTTGCTCAAAGCAAAAACAGATGAGCGCAAGGCAGCCAAGCAGATCGAAATGTTTCTAGATGAACAAGAAAAGAAAATGACACTTACAGAACTGCACCGAAAGTGGAAACTCGAAGACCAGAAAAAGCGAGAAGAACGTGCTAACTTGAACAGATTCGATTTTGAAGACCTTGGAGAACTTACGGAAGAAGAAAGACTTTTGCCCAAACACGAGATTCGAAGGATCATCCGAGATCGCAAAAACGACTTGTGGGTTCAAGACATGAGATCCAAGGGAATTCCTCTGCATGAATGTGATGTTTGCCACCGACTTGCCAGTGACAATCATAGATGTATTGCGACAAAATGGATGACCGATGGAAGCAAGAAAAAGGGGCTTATCCTCAGTCAGACTGATGGAGGGATTCGATTGCATGAGAAACAGTTGATTGACTCAGAGGCGCTGAATAAAGAATTTGAGAGAATTGTTACGTTGAAAAAACAAGTGGATGAACACAACCGTCGCGTCGAAACTGCAGTTGCTCCAAACGATGTTGTCATGGAAGGAGCCACCACTAATACTCAACAAAATACAGCAACAGAAACAGAAACAGCAACAGATTCGTCAACTTCTTCTTCTTCTGATTCTTCACCAACCATACAATGTGTTTAGCCCAGCAGCTTCTTCATTTTCGCTCTTCTATGCCATCCCGGATCTCTGGAGTTCCCTTACCCTCAATTTTGAAATTATAACCCAATCATGTATTTCATTTATTCGTTACTCATCATCCTACCTTCTTTCTATCATCTCTCCTCTTATATCACTCCCACATGTTTTCTCTCTTCTCCTGGATACCTCGTACATCGCCCCCCTCACGTTCATTGAATTTATAAATAATGGAAATTCTTTTGTCGCCTTAGTGGACAACGGATCCCAAATGAATGTCATTGACTCGGATGTTCTGTCTTGTCTGTCTTTTACAAAGGAAACAACGGCTGCTACAAAGTTGGTGGGAGTCCAAGGACATATCTCAAGAATTGACCGTTGGATCTCTTTGGAAGTGCACTTGCCAAATGGAGCTGTTGTGAAGTAAAAGCCGCTGTTGTGGACAATTGCCCATGCTCAATCATTTTTGGACAGCCCTTTCTCATTGCCAGCAAAGCTCAGATTGATTCGTCGAATGCCATTCTCACCATGCAAAACGGACCAATCCAACTTCTACAATGCCAACGACCTCCATACCCCTCGGTACATGCAACATTGGATGCAACGGAAGTTGGACAACTGGATATTGGAAAGACAAACTTAACGCAGCCCCAAATGGAAAAGTTACGACAATTTCTTCAGAATTATCGCCACCTTTGGGAGGGCGACGTTCCAGGCCGCGTTAAGAGTGTAGAACATCGGATAACAGTTCGGACAAGTCAACCCATCCGTGATAGACCAAGGCATGCAACACCGCAACAGCAAGAGGAGATCAGCAGACAAGTCAACAAAATGCTGAAGGAAAACATCATTCGACCCCAGTAATTCAGAGCACAGTTCAGAAATTGTGATTGCAAAGAAACAAGATGCAGATGGGAATTTCACGGGCTGGAGATTCTGTATTGACTACCGAAACTTGAATAAACAAACGGTGAAGGATGCATACCCACTTCCCAGGATTACGGATCTCTTGCACGCAATCGGAACTCACGCTATTTTGTTGCTTTAGATCTTCGTTGGGGTTATTGGAACATACCACTGGAAAAGAACAGCATAAAGTACACGGCTTTCCGTGTATGTTAGGACTTTTCGAATTCTTAGTCATGGCCATTTGGATTGACCAATGCTCCAGCAACGTTCCAGCGGTTGATGGACTTTCTCTTTGGGGATTTGCGGTCGACTGGAATTTTGGCGTACATCGACGACATTTTAATCCATGGGTCTTCGTTTGAAGAAGTTCTGGGGAAGCTGAAGGTGGTCTTGGATCGGTTACAAGCTGAAGGGTTAAAGATCAACTTCACAAAGTCAAACTTCTTTCCGCACCTTCTCAAGTACCTCGGGCAAACGATCGAAGATGGGAAAATGAAACCAAATGTGGCTAAAGTCGAGATCCTGAGCAAGTTCAAGAAGCCAACGACTGTATATGATGTTCGACGGATCTTAGGAATGCTGGGGTACTATCATCCGTATATCAAGGATTTTGCAGGATTGATGACGCCAGTCTTTGATTTGCTGAAGGGAATTCAAGGAACGTCGCGGATGAATAAAACTTCGAAGATCACCTGGGAACAACGTCACGAAGATGCAGTACAAAAAGCAATATGCAGGCTTCAACACTCTGTGCTTACAATCCCGCTGCCTTCAGATGAGTTTGTATTGGAAACTGACGCTTCTGGATTGTCGGTTGCGGCAACATTGAGCTGTAAACGAGATGATGGATCGCTTGTCCCTGTTGAGTTTGCATCGAAGAAACTAGGAGCTACGGAACAACGTTGGCCTGTTCGAGATCGGGAAGCATTCGCTATCATCTTTGGGCTAAAGAAATTTGATATTTACTTGAGAGGCCGTCATTCGAGGTGTACACCGATCACAAAAGCTTACGATGGATGTTGGATGCCAAAGAAGGTCGTGTGTCGCGTTGGGCCAGCCGCTTAAGCGAGTATGATATGACAATCTGCTACCGTGATGGAAGACAAATGGAACATGTGATTACTTGACGCGCTTCGTGGACTTTTCGGATATGGATGTTGAGGATTATATGTGCTTTTCCAATTTCCTTGCCGCTACTCCCAGTAATCTACCCACGATGGACAACATCATTCAGGAACAACGAGCATCAACCCCACCATCTGGACGAGGATTTTTCGTGAAAGATGGGATCACTTTCTACCATAATGCTATTTGGGTGCCACTCTCTCTTCGGAATTCTGTTATTGCTGCCTGCCACTCTGTTGCACCCTTCAGACACCATGGAGTGAAAAAGACATCAAGAACCATAAGAAAAGTCTTCAATTGGTCGGGTCTTCATCAACAAGTCGCCAAATATGTTTCGTCTTGCCTTCGTTGCCAGCGTACACGTCCAGGAATTGAACGCTTCCAAGGTCATCTCCGAACACATCCCATCCCCGGACCCTTTCACCACAGTTTACATGGATTTCTGGAAATGTACGTTCAATGGGAGTCAACTACCAGGTGCTGACAATGATTGATCAATTCACAAAGTGGGTTGAGTGCATTCCAGTACCATCAGCAGCTGCGGAGATCGTTGTGTCAACATTCATTCGTTCGTGGATCTGTCGTTTGGAGTTCCTTCGATAATCATGACGGATAACGACCAGACTTTCACAGGAATTTTGATGAGGACTGTGCATGGGTTGTTCGGGACTAAAGCGTGACGAGCACCCCTTATCATCCACAAGGAAATGCCATCATCGAGTCGTTTCACCGCAACTTGAACAAAGGACTTTCCGCATTGAAGTTCCAGCAGTTCGACCAAGCATTTCCTTCCATGAAGCTTTAGACCTGGTACTTTACTCTTATCGTTCTACTATCCACCTCTCGATGAACGAGACACCAGCGTTCCTTGTTTATGGAATTGACCTTCGCCCACCAGCGGATAATGATTGGCGCTTCCAAAGAGTTGGAGCATGAAAGATCGTTTGAAGTTTGTGAATGAAATGCGTTTGGATATTCAATGGCAAGCGTACGACAAGAGACTCCGCGAAAATGAGAAAAAAAATGAAGCGCGGCAACCAGCAAAGTTCACTCCAAATCAGTTAGTCCTTGTTCGTGCGTCAGAACATGAGCGACGGAAAGCAGCTTTCTTTTCTGACGAGCATAAGCACAAGTTGATTCCGAAATGGTCACTACCTTGTCGAGTCCTCTCCGTTTATCCAGGTGATCAAAAGGCGCTAGTAAAGAACTTAATAACGGATCAACAAAGGATTGTGCACATCCAGGATGTCCGCTTCCTGAGTCCCCCGCTAACGTCTCTGCAAAGGGAAGAATGGGACCGAGTAGTGAATCGTGAAATCTCTTCAATGTTTGACCCCAAGGAGCGCCATGAAAAGCTTGAAAAATTCTGGGAATCCGTCGACTACCCTCAACTAGTGACGAAGAAGAAGCGGCCTCGCTTGGATTAAGTTTGGTCCTTAGGCGGGCGAGTTGGAGTGATTGCTGCGCTAATGAAGAACCAAACTTAAAGCCTTTTCCTGATGTCTCAATGTCTCGGGCTTCACGGATGTATGCGTCTCACCCATTGACATAAACAGTTTTTAGTTCCAGGCCTCTCCCTTTTATTCTTGATTTTAACCTTGTTGCCATTGATCAACAAATGAATCATCAAATTCTGAACCAACTGTTCAACCACCTCGGGATGCTGTTCGGCCCATCGTTCTTCCTTTGGGTTCTGATGCCGTTGAGTTTGGCATCTTCCGCATTTATTGTGATTAAGGTCTATCCTATCCTCCGGAAGGTGATTTGCACTTTCTTCGCGATAACAGGACTTCTTTCCCTCGCAATTGTCGGACGAACCGCCTACATTATGACCCCTATTTTGTATAGGGCAGCACTCGATTCCCTTCTTTCAGTTATAGACAACTTTGACAACACGCTCTCCCACTGGGGTAACCATATTTCTAACACCATGCTTGAAAGCAACCCCACCCACTTCCTTGCAACAAACTGGACCATCATCGCTTTAGGGCTCATCGTAGTATGGCTAACTGCCTTTGTGGTCACTGCAAGAACCATTCCACAAGTATCTGTCTTAATTGGACCTCAGATGCGATAGAACACCATGTTCTTGGGTTGGATATTCCTACAAAAATATCCTGGTGGACCAACAATTGGCTTAGAGTAGCTACGATGGCAATTTTGGGGATTATCGCCCTCATCCCCAAGCTCGGACATTTCCAGCTGCCTAGCCTCCCGATTTCGCAGGACATGGATCAAGTCATTGCGAAAATCGATCAGGGGGTCATATAGAGTAGTTCATCAGGAGCATCTGCTTGTCTGTGTATCTTTACCTTTCTCTTGTGGAGTTCTCAAAGAACAAAGCACAGATATCATTGAGGGTCTTCATTTTCCCTTTTCCCCATGTTTCGGATAGGTCCAGGTTGTTTCATTTGCGTCCTGATATTTTGGATAGCAGCATTAAATTTACTTTGTATTCACCGACGGGGAGGTGTTTGTGGTCCTCATCGAACTTAGCTACATCGAATTTTCCTGGTTTGTCCATGCCTGGGAGTAGGTACTTAGCGGACATCGATGTTGTAGATCTTCACTTGTGACAGGTCTTGCGCGTGCCATGCTTCTAAAGCTTTCTCGTATTCTGTCATATTCATATCAACCTGATGAAAGGTTGCGTGCACTTAGTTGCAAACTGCACAAGATTCTTGTCCGTGTGTCTCAACAGCGTGCCTCATGTTACTATATGCAGTATTCAGGCAATCGAAACAGTTCGCCAGCTTTTGATACCTGGACGTAGCCTTCATACCCATCCTTACCCCCATCAATTCCTTCATGTCCCAATTCCTTTTTTTTGAACCAGTGATGTCTTGGGCGTCACTCTTCCCGATTCCTCCATTGTTATATTACATATTTGCCTTCATCATTATTTATTTCACTCTTAATTTTATGATGTATGTGTTCCAAGCACTGAAGAGAGTTTTTTGCTATCTTGTCATTGTGATTGGAGGAACAACCGTGATCATTCTCTGTTACCTTGCACATGTGTTCATCCCACCTATCTGCGAAGCACTTTACACTTACGTAACAACACTCTTCGCAAACACCCATAGTAGTTTCCGCCAACAAGCACTCGAACTAGCAAGCCGCATCGTCGAAATCACACCAACACTCCCACCTGCGAGCACTACTCCGGCCTTCACCTTATTTTCTTCTTTCGGGATCATTGCCACAGTGGCCTTACTGTGTACGGCTGCAAAGAACCTCCCACCTGAGTGGTGAAAGCCAAACATTCTCTGAAGTGATGTAAGGTGGCTTCAGCTGGTTCTGGATATTCATGGGTCGTCCGAACTTCCTTTTCATCAACTATGAAATCATCATCCATAGTTGGTCCTGTTCCTTCTTCTTCTTCTTCTTTGTCTCCGATCCATTTCCTGATTCTTCGTCAAGTAGCAGGTTAGCAACCATCACGGGAAGTGTAGCCAACTGATTGTTTGATTCTGTTAATGCCAGCATCTGCCTTAACCTCTTCCTTAGTAATCTTGCTTTGAAAGTCTTTACTTCGTCGAGGTCC